ACTGGTGTCCCATCCAGGGTGTATCCTATCCTGCACCTTGTGCTTGCAGGTCAGGTCAGGCTCTGGGTTGCCAGTGCCCTTACCAGACTCTGCAATACCAAATGAAGAGAAGGGCTGAGCAGTGAGGCTCTGCTTCAACTCTCTTCATTAAAACCGCCTCCTGCTGGCTCCCAGAGACGGCCACTGCTTGTTAGAGGCAGATGTGCCTTACTGGGCTGTTCTGTCTCAGAGCAGCGATGCAAGACAGCCAACTGACTCGGGTTCGTGCCTTAACATCGTTAGGAGAATCCTCAGCGAGCGCGTTCCACCACCTCATTACCTCCTCCCCCTTCTCCGCCTCCCTCTCCCTCCCCCTTCTTTTTCAGTCGTCTTTGCCCTGTTCCGACCCCCTCTCTCTCTCTCTCTCACTCTGCTCCGGCAGTTTCCAAGACAGCCGGTAACCATTCGTTAGTTCGGCTCCCCGGGGGCCTCATTAGAAGAGGATTTTCTCTTCCCCTCCACTGAATGTTTCTGCCTAACGAGGCCACAGCGCGGGCTGGCTCGGGACAGCGGGAGCCGGGCGCCCGTCCTCTCCAAGCCTGCAGACGCACAGACCGAGCTGGAGGCCAAATTTACAGAGGAGGCAAACCTCTAGATAGGAGGTAAATCTGATGAGTTAATACCCACACTGTAAAGATTCTAAAAAGGGGCTTGTTTCCATAGTGGGCAGTTTGTCCTCGGGGAATATCTAAAACAAATTATACTAAGACCTTTCATTACAGGTGCTGCAGGGTAGGCACTTCAGAACAGATAGTTCAGGGCAGGACAGGTGGTTCAGGGCAGATGTTTCAGCAGGTGGTTCAGGACAGCTAAATCGGGATAGGTAGATAAGGACAGGTGGTTCAGGACAGATGGCTCTGGACAGGTAATTCAGTACAGTACAGGGTAGTTCAGGACAGGACAGGTGGTTCAGAGCAACAGGTGGTTCAGGGCGGCTAAATCAGGATAGGTAGATCGGGACAGGAGGTTCAGGACAGGACATATAGTTCAGGACAGGAATGACGGTTCAGGAAATTTCCAAGGTGTCGTTTTGTTTGCTCCTGTGCAACTTGTGCTCTGCTGTTTTCCAGACCATCAAAAGAAACCCCCATCCATGCCCTTTCAGAGCCGATGGCGACTCCTCCAGAAGAAGAGCAGGAGCAAAGAGCGGTGAGCATCAGGTCGCGCACCAGGGAACCTGCCCGCAAACGGAAAAAACCAAAGAAGCTCGAGCGGGCGCTCAGACGCGAGAACAGCTGAAACCCATCTTTTTTCGCCGGCGTTTTTGGACAGCTTGGATATTTTTTTATGGATAAGCATCACTGGTTCCATGATGTCTGAGGATTCGGAATCAGAATGCTGGCTAGGGGCGGAACAACAGCAGATGCGATTTAGAGAGCGGGGCAGCAGATATCTGAACTCAGCAGGAGTAACACTCTGTATGGATGCCTGATCTTCATGGTGGTGGGAGGGGGGGGG